GGTGCAGGGTGTTTCCACGGGTCTGCCCAGTAGAAAATAGGTTTGGCTGAGCAAGAATACAAATTAGAGAGAATATTAATTATTAGAAAGTTTATTTAGAAACAAATCTAGACTGTCCAATGCATATTTTTACATAGACTAACATCACTGACATTTACACTCAAAGCTACATATGGAAGAGACAAAACCATGAAGCACTTACAGAGACTCAGATTCTTCAGGGTGCAGGATGTACCTGTTACAAACTTCCGGGCTGTCCTGGACAGGAAGCGCTGGATCAGCCACACCAGGAGACACTAGGAAGCTCCGTTTGGTGGCATTGGAGATGGGTACAATTGGCCTGGCACTCTTGGGCTGAGTCATTGCTCTTGCTATATTACAAATATTAATTAAATTAAATTAGTAAAACAATAGGCAAAATATGAGGATGTTGGTTGAAGCTTCATGTAAACTTTACTGGCTTTAAAACACACACACACAAAAAAATTATTTAAGCCCCCACCCCCTCACCATCTTTAAATTCCTGAACATCTCTCGGCTGGACAAATTCAGGCTTGACAATCTCAAACCACCAGAAGAGCTCTGCTATAAATACCATGACATTGTGCTGCAGAAGAAACAGAGAATTAAGAACAGACCCGTACGGAAATGAAACATCTGGTTAATGAGAAGACACATTATACATGACTGAATAACTTACCTTGAGCACAGGAGGTGCGTAGAGCATGTCCTCTAGAGTCAAATAAAAGCTTTTGTTAAGGTACTCATTGGTGAACTCTTTCAGCAGCTGGATATTATAAAGGCTGTCTGCTATTGAGGTCACCTCTTTCAAGCAGATATCTGCAGATAAAAGAAAACACAAAGTTAGCAAATAAGCTATCCTGAGGCATACAGGCTCTGACATTCATAAATGCTAAATCAAGGGCTGAATGCAAACAAGCTCAGTATTTGCTTGGGAGTTGAAATATCAGAAAATAACTTTTCACAGAATATTCACTTAGCTCAAGAGGCAAAGTGCGGTGAAGCACCAAGGGAATAAAACTACAATCAATCAAAAGTATAAGAAAGCAGACCAGCAAAACTCTAAATTAACCATATAAAACCTACTGTATTATATATGCTATGAAAATTTCTAAGGCCCCTAAATGATCAACCTGATCAGTGTTGTGGAACTCTGAAATATTTACAGATTTTTATAAAGTAAACATAAGTACTTTTACATTGTAGTTGTTCATCTTGAAATATCACTACCAGAGCTTTGATCATAAAACTAAGCATTTTAATATCATCTTATTAAGACATATTATTGGGAGATACAGAGACAACTGATATTTCTATACATTTTATGCAAGTAGTCTGCTATACTGTGAGAAAGATCTATCCTAATTTCATCTTAGATTTTGTCATATTAATATCAGCAACTGCACC